GCTGTCCCGCGCGCGCCGGTGCAGGATGGAGCTGGGCAGCTCGAAGGCCTGAGGAGGGAGGCAGAGATGGGCATGGAGGAGGTGGGGACCAACACTGAGTCCCCCACGGGAGCAGCCGGATTTTTTCCGGGAGGTTTTGGGGGCGCCACGTCATGATTCCCCCTCCCCATAGCAAGGCCCAGCTCTGCTGCCCCCGGGCAGCAATTCCTACCTGCTCCAGGTGGGCCAGGTGGAAGGGGAAGCCGGTGGCCCGCATGATGGCTTCCACGGCGGCCAGGGTCTGCTCCCGCTGCTCCGCGCTCTGCCCGCACACGGCTCCCTCTGCGGAGCAAAGCGAATGGAATGGGAAGGAGCAAAGGGAATGAGGCGGGGGGTGTCCAGGTGGGCATAAGGGAGCCCATCTCCGTGGATCCGGTCCCAGCACCAGAGTCTCCTTACCATCAACGTAGATGACGCCGGGGATGAAGCGGAGCTTCTTGGCCGTCTCCCGCCTCAGCCCCTGGGAAAAGGGGTGGTAAATGAGCCAGGCGGCGGCATTCCCGAGGCATTCCCCGGCCCCACGCTCACCTCCTGGACCTGCCGGAGCATGGCGCTGGACGCGGGCCCGCCGGAGAGCGCCAGCAGCACCTGCACGAGGAGCCGGATGAGGCAGAGGAGGCGTCGCGGCCGCCCCCGGCACTTTTTTCCCCTGCCGCTACCTTCTCGCCCGGGAAGATGACGCGGTTCTTGCCCAGCATGGCCCGGAATTTGTGCACGAAGTATTCCCGGAAGCAGGAGCTGCGGGGACACGGCCGGGATGAGCCGGGACAGGGTGACCCCCCGCCCGTGTCCCTGTCCCGCCGCGGCGCTCACCGGCAGAAGGGGTCCCCGAGGCGGATGACGAGGACGGCCGGGCTCTCCTTGCACTTCATGCAGATCCGCGGGGCGCTGGGAAGAGGTGTCATCCCGGGTCATTCCAGGGGGGATCGCCCTTGCCAAGCTGGGCTCGGTCCCAGGGACGGGCCCGGGGGTTGGTCCCGGTCCCCCCGCCCCGGCATTCCCAGAAGTTTCTCCCAGGAGGAGGGGGTGATCGGTCCAGGTGCCGTTCCCTCCCGCGGGATTTGGTCCCAGGGCCCTCAGCGCATTCCCGGGGGTGCTCCCAGTTCCCCGGGGCCAGTCTGGGAAGGGGCAGTGGTCCCGGTTCCCCCGGTGCCAGAATCGGGGCCAGGAGGAGGCGACGCGGTCCCGCTTCCCCGGGGCCGGTGCGGGAACGGCGCGGGGAGAAATCCTGGTTCCCAAGGGGCCGATATGGGAAGTGGGGGAGGGAGGCGGTCCCGGTTCGGGAGGCGGTCCCGGTTCGGGAGGGGTCCCTGTTCCCAGGGGCGGTCCTGGTTCGGGAGGGGTCCCGGTTCCCTCGGGGCTGGGGCCAGTCCCGGTTCCCAGGGGCCGGTCCTGATTCCCAGGGGCCGGTCCTGGTTCCCAGGGGCGGTCCCGGTTCGGAGGGGTCCCGGTTCCCTCGGGACTGGAGCCGGTTCCCAGGGGCGGGCCCGGATCCCA